GGAAGGTATCGATGGAGTGTCTTTTGTGCGACGTCCTTTCGCCCTACTTCTAGTTATTCTTCTAACAAGTATATTCGTATTGTCAACTGTGTCTAGTCTACATTTTAGAAGAGTTTTCATCCTTTCAATCTCTTCCTCAAGGTTGTTGATTTTGCCGGCCAAAATCTGGCATCCGCTGCAAAATCGATCGGTATGCGGCACGTATATACCATCAAGTAAACTTTGCGACATTGCTCGCCGCGGTGCCGCGGCGGCCGAGGGATTGGCGCGCTCGACTGAAATGTTGGTGGTCGGTGGATCGACCCCCTCATGCGATGTAATACCGTTGGGAGTCTGCGCAAATCTTCATTATGTAGTGGACTTATGAAAATCGGGAAAATCTGCAGGAATAACATGCTTTTTCCTAAAGCACAACTGTAGACACTGCCTATGCTTATGCTGGATACGCCGAAAATTCCCAGGGAACGCTTTTTTCAGGTAAGCCTATGTTTGGAAAACCAGGGGTTGTCTGAATTTAAGCATAACAGCAAGCAGTGTAGGAATATCGACTCAGCATTTTTGTAGATGTTGCTTGTCGAAAACGGTCTATTGGATGGGTAGGCCTCGTAGACAAGCCGAGATTCCCGACAGAGAGACCGTTTTTACTGAAGTTAGTTCTGATCGAACGATAAGGGTATCGATGGAGCTAGCTGGAGGCTCCTAGTCAGAAACGCGTTTTATAATCCACTTTTTGATGAAAGACAGTTGTTTTCAGTGAAGAGACTCAAGTGAAAAACTTCTTTCTTGCAGCTCAAAATTCAAACCGCGTGCGACAAAGCTTCACCTATGTAGGATGTGGTTTGGTAGCTCCACCTGATGGATACAATACTGTTGGAGTTGGAGTTAATGGTTAGGGTTAGGGGCTAGGAGTTATGATTAGGGTTAGGGGTGAGCATAACTATTTCTCAACCATTGAAAGTACAACCACGCACTCCCAATAGCTTTTCTTTTGCATACAACTACTTACCTCGTCACGTGTGCGTTCTCCGGCTCCACCTGTAAAAACCCACTATTACCACCGGTCCCGTATTAGAGGTGACAGGGGTTTGTTTACTTCAGATGGGGCTACAAAACCACATCCGACCCATATTTCTTGGCGAACGCCGTCCAGAGCATAGGCTAACAGGCGCACTCTACTAAATTAGGAATAGTTTCGCTGCGTTTACAGCGCTGCTAATGGAATGCCAATGTCAGCGTACAAGATGCCATAAGGCATTCGGCTAAATCTGGCAAACACGAGAATCCTAGCAATTTTCTCAGAATTCTGCATATCCCCTTGTGGGCTGTACAACGCCTCCATTGTCCGTCGATAATGAGAAGGCCTTGACTGAAGATCAGCCAAACAACAAGCACGCTAGTGAGTAGACGAATGAGCAGTCGTAGGGCATGAAGTGGTACCACAGTCAGTCGTACCTAGTCACCAGTCCTGCAGCTGGGCGCCCAACAAACGATGCGACTACTGGCCGCGATTGACTCAGCCTCTACCTACCTTCGCCGACTTAGTTCTCGGAGCCGCCCACCGAGGGCCGGACGGGACCACACACCTTGGTTGTATCGCACCTCCTCGGCCAGTCTTTTTGATGAAAACACAGGGTGCGCCATTCAAACTGCGACCCGCATTGGAACCAATTCGTCCAAACCCACCAGTGGACCAACTCGGTGTTATCTGTCAGCACGTCCTCATTCACGAGGGCAGAGACATATGATCACTGATAGTGGGCACCTTCTTCCTCTTGCATTTGCTATGGCAGTGGCCATATGCGGCGCCGGTGGTGACGGGTTACTCGCTGACTCGGATATCCGGTGCGTCCGCAGGTGGCTGATAGTGGGACAGCGTTCAGCGAATGTTGGCTCCGAAATAAGCAGGCTCTCAGGTCTGGCGAATAAGCAGTCGCGGATCATCAGCGGGAGTGCTATCAGGACGCGGCGTGTTGAGACCTGGCATGCCGACCGCCTTGCAAATCACCGCAATTACGGATGACGGCGCTGTGACATGACGACCGTAAGATCACCCTCGAAGAAACAAGTCAACCGGCTGTTGGGAACTCGCTTGTACTCAAAGTCTTCAGAATACCACATGAAAATGACCGACTACAGTGTTAAGATCCGTGCTATGGCGCCTGTGGAGACCGACGCGCACCGCAACCCTGGCTCGGTGGTGCGGGCGGATAGTAGGCGGCCTAGATGGCTCGAGAATGGACTCTTCGTATTGGGTGTTGGGATGTGTGGACGTTGATAGAAGCGAACAGGCGAGTCCCAGGTAGCAGTTCAGAAGATGAAGATGCGATCACCGGGACAAGAAGTTTATTTGCCTGACGTTTCGGATTCTCACTCGAATCCATCATCAGAGACATTCGCAGATAGAGGTGAATGTGGCACCAGGAGTGCAGTATTTATAGCACGTGGCTGCCGTAGGACCGTATGCGCACTGCAATTAACAGTTCTCACAATCGCCGCTGGGTAGTTGCCATTGAAGTTCAGTATTTGCGTCGTATTTGTCGCTTTCCTGAACATATTGGTTTTTAGGCAATAGCAACCACCCGATCAGTCACAAACGCAGTTGCGTAAGGGCGCTATACCGGCGTGTTGAGACGCACTGCAGTGAAATGGAAGACAAGGTTGCTGAATTACAATATCTTCGACGGGTAATGAGAGCTAATGGCTACCCGCGCAACTTTGTCAACCAGTGCATACGAAAAGGACACCAGAGACCAAATCCAACTAGCCCCAAATTTTGGCGGGCTTTTCCGTACGTGAAGAACGTCTCGGAAGCCGTCAGTCGTCTTCTCACTCCACTTGGAGTTGGGGTTGCACACAGGCCGGAAGCAACCATTAGGCGCCAAGTAATGAGGCCAAAAGACCCGCTGCCACGGCAGGAAACGTCTGGAGTCGTTTACCGGATCTGGTGTAGTTGCGGACAAAGCAATTATGTCGGAGAAACTGGGAGATTACTCCGTACGCGACTTGCCGAGCACGCAGCAGCAGTGAGGCGGGGAGACGCTAACTCTCAGGTGGCGGCACATTCGACGGGACCCGGCCATATTTTCAAATTTCAAGAGGCCGAAATCCTCGCAAGAGGTGACAACCGCGTGAGCCGCGAGCTGCTCGAGTCATGGTTCTCAGGCCCGCAATCCATCAACAAACACAATGACCCCCCGGTGCCCTATTCCGTATTGCGATTTTCCCTGGGCAGGAGAATCAGTCACGTGGGGAGGGCGCGGGTGAGCAATTATCACGGTGACAGTGAGCCAGTTTGCCGAGCAATCGTCACACCAGCATCGAGCACGGATGACGAAATCGCGGCAATTAACAACTCGGACTCGGACCGCCAAGCCACCGCCGCATCAATTACGACCCCAGCGGCGATTGTGAGAACTGTTAATTGCAGTGCGCATACGGTCCTACGGCAGCCACGTGCTATAAATACTGCACTCCTGGTGTCACATTCACCTCTATCTGCGAATGTCTCTGATGATGGATTCGAGTGAGAATCCGAAACGTCAGGCAAATAAACTTCTTGTCCCGGTGATCGCATCTTCATCTTCTTATGTGTGGACGTCCCGGATCCTGGTACAAAAGTCTGAAGACACTCAGTCTTAATCAGTACAACATGGATGTTTGCTGCCTGCCTGAGGTCCGAATTTTTGACTCAGGCTCTAGGTAAATAAAGTTCCCGGAAGTTAAATCCCACTCCACC